AAAAAAAACCTCTATTGGAATGGAGGGATAGATTGACTTACATCTTTTGCAAACGAAGTTGTTCAGCTGGACTCTCAGTCCAGCTACGACGGAGAGCTTCCCTGGTTTTGGGTGGAATGAACATCTGCTGTGATGAAAATCCTCTTTTGCAGCTAAGTTTATAGAGTGTCACGTATTCTGTGAGAATAGAATAGCCCATTTTCTGGCTGAATGTTTTCACAAGATTTATACCTCCTCTCTGATGATTTGCCGCTGTGGATTTGACACAGAACTGCAAGTCTCAAATGATTTCACCTAGAGATGCCCCCAAAGATAAATGCAGGCTGGAAAGAGGTAGAAAACGGATTACTTAGCAATTGGAGTTAGTAAAGTTGAGTTTCTTCATGGATCTTGGTGGCCAAAGAAAGGCTCTGGTCAATAGAGGAGGATCCAGTTTTGAACCCAGTCTGATTTTTGTCATTGTATGAACCTGCAGAAGGCTGGCTGGTCACAGCCCTGGGAAAGTGCCCCGTTTCAGGTAGCATCCCCGAAAACCAGGAGTCGGGGGAATGGCAAGCCTGCCCCAGAGAGTACACTATGAGGATATATGAGGGAAATATGATTTATAGTCCCACATTTCTGAGAGGGGATTGAAGCTAGAAGCAGTACTGCCAGCATTTTGGAACTGATTCTTGCTGTCCCTTTCTTGCTAGCATTTAGGAAAATGTTAAAAACTGAATTTTTTTGTAGATAATTTTTTTTCTCTTTAAGTCTATATTTGACATCTTCTTGATGGTTTTTCCCCCTTGCTTGTTTTTTTTTAAAAAAAAACCTTTATTTTTATCGTTATCTTTTAATATGATCAAAATTCAAATGCTTCACAACTGACTCATATTTATGACGGTGATCACCTTTTGTGAACTTCTGACAAGCAACGTCAATGGGGAAGCCACAGCTCACTTAGCCATCCTGTCCCTAACTTAATGACCGCAGTGATTCGCTTAACAACAGCGGCACGGAGGGTCATCCAAGGGGGCAAGCCACCCTTAACGAATGTCTCGCTTAACAACACATTTTGATCTCAAGGTTGGCCGTAAGTCGAGGACTACCTGTATTGGGGTTGGTGGGGGTGGGGGAGAGGGAAATGCCTCAAATTAGGTCCCAGACACGCCTGTTTTCTATATTTAGACACAGTGTCTCAACACGCCCACGACTCAATGTTGCCCTGTGGGAATTTCACCCCAACATCCTGCCAATATTTGGAATGAATCAGGCATGACCCCGTCCCTTTTCCCGTTAGGGCGCGATTGAGAAAGAGGAGGCCGCCGCCGCCGGTTTCTCCTCGCTTGTGTTGCCAAGGCGGGCCCGCCCTCTGCTCAGAGGCGCCAGAGGGCCACCGCTGGGCGCGGATGGGCGCACGGGCAGGCCGTGAGCGCCGCGGGCTGGCAGCCCCATCTGAAGGCGCGGTGCCTCTTTCCAAGCCGTCGAAGCCGAGGGCAGCGCCCCCTCACGGGCCCGGCTTAGGCGAGAGGCGTGCCTCTTCCCGCCCCCCCCCACGCCCTCTCGGGGCCCGGAGGATGCCGCGCGGGTGGGACCTCCCCGGGGACGCGGCAGGCGGCTGTGTTCAGTCGGCCGTCAAGCGGAGGCGCAGGCAGGCAGGCAGGCAGGAGGCTCGCGCGCCCTCGCCGCCCCGCTCCTTCCCGTCCCGTCGCGTCCCGTCGACCATGGCAAGCGCGTCGGTGGAAATCCTGGCTTTCCTGCTAGTCGTCTCGGGCTGGGTGCTGGTCTCTTCCACGCTGCCCACCGACTACTGGAAGGTGTCGTCCATCGACGGCACCGTCATCACCACGGCTACTTTCTGGTCCAACCTTTGGAAGACCTGCGTGACCGACTCCACCGGGGTGTCCAACTGCAAGGACTTCCCCTCCATGCTGGCGCTTGACGGTCTGCAAGGCTCTCCTTTTCCCCCTTCCCTTCCCTTCCCCTCGGTTAAGCTAGCGGGGGTCTGCCCTGCTCGGTATCCCTAATGGAAGGGGAGCCCGGCGGGGTTCTGGGAGCTGCTCTCCTAGAAGGAGAGGTGGGGTGGGGGGGAATCCATTCAGCCATGGAGCCATCGGGTCCAACCCCTCGATCTCTAAATCCAATTTAATTTAGATGATAACCGGAATAATGATGGATCTAAGATTATTTGCTCCCCTCTTACATGGTTGCTTTGCCTCCTTATTTTTTTTTTTTTTGTTTGAAGTTGATAGTAAAAGAATTGCTTGAGGATATAAAATTCATTTGTCTATTTAGAGATGTGAAATCCAGAAAGAAATGCCAAACTTGTAGTGGGGTTAATTTTCTTTTCATTCTAGTTAAGAGTCTTTTTGAAGAGAACAGTTGCTTTCTTTTTCAAATTATTGTCTGATTTCCTGATCATTCTCTTTCCTAAACTGCAATATTATGTTTGCCTCGTTTTTGGACTTGAGTTGCTAATGAATTTGGCTCTAAAACTGCCCTTGCCCACTAAAGCATCTCAGGAATTTGCCTGTCACAAGTTCCTATCTCAATGCCATGGATAAATCAATACAAAACCAAATATCTGAACTGTGAGTTTTTTGAATTATAGTTCTTATATTGATAGTCCTCTACTTATAACAGTTCTTTTAGTGACCGTTCAAAGTTTCAACAGCATTGAAAAAATGTGTCCATTTTTTCTTATGGTCATTTTTCACACCAAATCATTACAGCATCCCCATGGACACACAATCAAAACTCAGGTGCTTGGCAACTGGTTCTTATTTATGATGGTTGCAGTGTCCCAGAGTCAATGCAGAAGCCGGGTTCTCTTAATAACCAGGTTACTAACTTATCAACTGCAATGATTCACTTAATAACCTGTAATTGATTTTAAAAGTTCCTGGAGGTATCTGAATCTTGAACAAAAGGACAAGATAATTTCCGGCATTTCAAACTTGCAAGGGATATTTTGATCACTTTTCCTCTTAGGTATATGCTACCAGAGCTGTCCCATGAATCTGTCAAGGTCCGGTTTGTCAAAAATGAATTACTCATGTAGAGCTCCTCATTGATCATTTCATCCAGAGATTATAGATATGTCCAGATCCCTTTTGCAATCTCTTTTTGTGAGAGGAATACTGGAAATAGACTGGAAAAGGTCACTCATCTGTTCTCTTCACATCATTTCAAGAATGATCCTAGTTGCCCAAAATATACAGCTCGCCATCATGTAACATTTGAAGTTATATTCTTGTGGCTTCATACTTTTAATATGAGATAAGCTGGGGACTGCAGTCTGTGAAGGACAGCTTATAAATTAGTGCCCATTAGACTAGTAGTGTTTCTCAACTCCAGATATTCTAAGATGTGTGGTTCCCAGAGCTGAAGAATTCTTAGATATGGATCAAACCATTACCTTGATGAGTTAATTGGCTATATTTCCCAGGAGAGTAGAAATCTGGTGACATATGGAAGGAGCTACTATTTCTGTTTTCTCCTCTCACCATTTTGACATGAACCATGTGAAAACAGGCCCGCGTTGGTATCTTGTGCTTCTGTATAATAACAATAAAACCAGTCAATTAGGAACCAGTGGATTGTTTGAACATAGGAGAGTTAGAAGATTGCCAATACTCCTTAATACAAGAAAGTGAGGCTCCTTATAGAGATGCCTTCTCTGAATCCATTGCTTTTCGATAGTTTTCATCCTGTTTCCGGCCTCTCTTCTTTTACTACTAGCAGACTAGCTTCATAGCACCCTAGAAAAAGAGGATTATTTGGACTCTAAATGTGAATGTGATAGCATTCTTGGTTTGCCAGGATCTGGACTAGGAGAATGTGCCCCTCTTCGACCTCTCAGCCATCTTTGATATTATCAACCATGGTTCACCTGCAGGACTTGGATATGTGAAGCGTTATTTTACAAAGATTCTATTCCGTCCTAGGTGGGCAATTTCAACGTGGAGTAATGTTGGAGGAGAACCAGCCTGATATGTGGGAAGTTGCACAGATCAATCTTCTGTCCCCTGTTCAACATCTATGTAAACCCGCCAGATAGGGTCATCTGACAATTTGAAGTACAGTTTCACCAAGATGCCCATGATATAAGAGCTGTCCGAGCTGTAGAGAGATTCTTTTGTTAGGGTCCTTTCTTGGGCCTGGAGGCTTTAAGGTTGGCAGAGAACAGTGTAAAAGCTGAGCTTAAGAGTTGTTGCTTTTACCTCAGGATTTCCTGTTGCAACCTGTGATGTCTCGTGACAAGCAGACCCTACCCATGGAGGACCAGGTCTGCCATTTTAGAGCCTTCTGGAAGAGCAGGTAGAGCCATGGCCAGAGGGGCCCATGCCCAGCTTCCAGGGTGTACCAATTACAACTACAGGTGGTCCTCAACTTATGGCCACAATTGAGCCCAAAATTTAGGTTGCTAAGTGAGAAACTTTTTAAAGTGAGTTTTGCCCCATTTTACTACTTTTGTTGCCACATTGGTTAAGTGAATCACGGCAGTTGTTAAGTAAGTAAACCGGGTGTTAAGTGAATCTGGCTTCCCCGTTGACTTTGCTTATGTCAGAAAGTCACAAAAGTTGATCCCATGATCCCGAGACACTGCAACCATCATAAATATGAGTCAGTTGCCAAGCATCTGAATGTAAATCACGTGACCATGCTGCAATGGTCATAAGTGTGAAAAATGGTCATAAGGCACTTTTTTTCAGTGTCATTGTAACTTCAAACAGTCACTACACAAACGTTGTAAGTCAAGGACTAACGGTAATATCTAAGGCAAAAGGACCTGATTTAAAGAATTTATGCCCTCATTACTACTTGGGTTAGATAATTGCAATATATTTCCCATAAAGCTGCTTTTAGAGGCACCTCAGAAATGATAATTGGACTGGAATGCAGCGGTCCACGTGCCTCCTGATTTCTGTCATTTGCAATACATAAGCCCCAATTCTACAGTCTTTTTATGGCGTGGCACCTGGACTGCCTGTTGCAACCAGCATCAGCCCAACACACAGGTAGTTCTCAATTTAACAGCAATTCATTTTGCGAAGTTACAACAGCAATGAAAAGAAAGTGACTTGTGACCATTTTTCACCCTTACGACCATTGCAGCATCCCCAGGGTCATATGTTCACAATTCAGATGCTTGGCAACTGACTCATCTTTATGACGGTTGCAGTGCCTTGGGGTCATGTGATCAGCTTCAGCAACTTTCTGACAAACAAAGTGAATGGGGAAACCAGATTCACTTAACAACCGTGTTACTAACTTAACAACTGCAGTGATTCATTTAACAACTACGGCAAGAAAGGTTGTAAAATGGGGCAAAAATTCACTTAACAAATGTGTCACTTAGCGACAGAAATTTGGGGCTCAATTATGGCCATAAGTTGAGGACTACCTTTATGCGAATATCCAGGGAAATACAAATTGGTCCCACATTTCTGAGAGGTTTGGGGATTAAAGCAAGAAGCAATATGGCAGCATTTTGGAACGGATTCTTGTTAATGGCTGTCCCCTCCTTGCCAGCTTTTAGGAAAGTGTTAAAAACTGAATTTTTGTAGAGAGTTTTTTTTCTTTAAGTCTATATTTGATGTCTTCTTGGTGGGCTTTTTTCCCTTGCTTGTTTTTTTTATCTCTTGTTATCTTTTAATAATCTTGTGTTGTGGCTTTATCCATCCATGTTATTGTGATTGCTTTTTAATCTGTCCATGGATGTTTTAATTTTTATTTTATGTACTCTAAGTGAGAGTATTCTTTATGCCAAGAGTAGTTTGACTGAACAGTGCAAAAGTTTGATTCCTAAATAATAAAAGGCAGAGGCTTTTTGTTTTAAGATTTCTGTGTAGTTTAATTGTCCATCAAGAAAATATCTTCAGGCTATAAAAAGACAGCTGTTAGGTAAAATTTGGAGGCTGATATTTTTAATGATCCCAATACCGCCATCCTCATTTATTATTGTACAGGACACATTAAACTCTTGACATTCCCATTTAACAAAGCACCTGAGTAAAGCTTCTGAACTACTATTGACTTTTTGTAATAAAATGGAAGTTAGATTGGTCTCTGTGGCTAAAAATTAAGAGTATGAAATGTGCTGAACAATAAATTTTTCATTATGATTTTCAATCTCATCTGCTTTTTCTGTCTCTTGGTTTCTTACCATGTGTAGATAGATGCCACATTTCTCTTGATATATTAATAATGCTGGTATCACCTTTTAACACAGTCACCACCAAATTTTAATAAAGCATTTTGTAAGGTGATGCAACTACTTATGGTATTAATATCTTGAAAGATCTGTCAGAATTAATCACAATTAAATTGTAAATGGGAAATCAGGAAATAAATGAATGCACCGAACTTTTACTCATTGCTTACTTTAGTTCATATTGGCTAATAAGGATTTAGCTCAGATACTCTATGTCTTTCCTGGAACCTTCTTAATTAAATCTCTGAGTCTCCGGGGTGACATATAAATCATTGTTTTGCATACAGATGTTCTCATGATACTGTGAAATTGTATCAAAATCTGTCCCAAATTTATATCACCAAAGGTAGAAGCAGAATAAGACAAATTGTAATTAATTTATAAAACATTAACCAATATTGTTTTGTGGAACGTTTGCTTTTAGTAATATTTTAAATAGAGGATTTATTTTTACTTACACAGCTGAGCTAATGCACAAGGTGCCCATCTTTTCTTGAACTTGGGTGAATTGCTTACCACTTTTAGTGACTATTGTGTTCATTTTGTTCTTACTTTGGCCTCTTTTGCATCTCTTTACTTTTTTTCTAAATATTTCTTAAAATGTGGCAGGCAGAATTACTCAATTACACATTTGCCTTACCTCACCAGCAGACAATAGAGTAGAATATGTGGTAATCTAGAAAGCATGTATCCTTGATGCAACTTATCTCTGCCCTTTGCATACACC